TGTTTTGGCTTTCCATGGCAGTATCGCTAATCTACATAGCAGAGACACCATTGACTTCTCGATTATTATATATATATATATATACTCGTTTCAGATCTTTGGGGGTGCCAGATGTCCCTCCAATGGTCAACCGTTGAAGGCATCGTTCAATGTCCCCACAATCCTAACGATTGATTGTATCAGCATCAACTTTTTAGAAGCCCATAAATAAATATATATATATTTATATATTTATAATACTTTGGATTGAATCGAGGTAGTAATATTACCTGGAGCAAACTGCGCAATTTCTGCAGCACGTACGGCGCGTGCACTAAACTTTCGACGGCATCTAGTCGTTGGTTGATGTCACCTACATCTAGCAACGGCGCCACCAGATGTTGCTACATCATGATAAAGTGTTGCTATTTTAGTATTATAGTATAAACTCGAAAACCGACGTAAATTTTATATAAGGCATTTTCCTATTCTCCTTTAATTGATATAATATATATTAATTGATTATTCCTTTGATACCAATATCATAAAAATAATCAATTCAACTACAACACGAACGAAAAACTCAATCCATTCGTTCACAGCGTTGCAATCTTATCTATATCGTCGGCGGATTTTATACTGGAGCCTATAGATGAAATTTGATGTTGACACCATGATCAATCCAATGGCCACGACACTTCCAAATGGACACCAGTTGGTATTGACATAGATCGTACAATGGAGTACGTACACTGAGCAGTCGCGCGCCTCCAGCCGTCTTGGTCGAATCGATGGCGTCAAGCAACGTGTGCTTCCGCGTGCCTTGCATCGACTACAAGAAATATCATGAAATAAACAGTATACTTTATAAGCCAATTATATATTTTTTTAAACTTAATTGAAATTTAGATGCAGATTTATCAAAATATATCAATAAAAATAGAAGGATCTTTTAAAAAATAAACTGAAATTCTGCATGAAATAAAAAGAATATTCCAAAACGAGGTAAACAAATCTGAAACAAAAACGATATCTTGCACAATACAAGCATTTTGGCACGTCACATCACATCCTCCTCCATTCGATCCATGTTCGTTACTAGTATCACAGATTGATAACCAACCATCACAACATATACATATATATATATGTTGTCATTTATAGCCCAATGACGTTATAGCCCAATGTCGTTATAGCCCAATGTCGTTACCTTGGTCAATTCTAGGGATCGCCATACACTCACATCAAATCGCATGCGACCAACCAACTGGCGAACGGCCGACGACGGCTTGCAAGCATGAGAATGTGACGATGGAGTTCCGACGTGCGTATATGCCAAGTACTCGTGGATCATGGATGCGGCAGCCACTGATGCGTCGGAATTAGCAAATTCCACAGACCCTTGTTTGCGAAACGTCACAACAGTCCCCAGCGCATTCATCGCATTCTCAAGACGCTGGCGCCACCACGTACTGTCCTGGACGTTTGCCACGTCATCCTGAGCTGGCACGAGGAGCTCGGACGGCTGGAGCCGAGTCAGTTCGCTGTCCACGTCATCCATGTGCACAGTCAAGACGACGAATTCCCCTGTGGAGATGTCTGTGTACGCAATATGACAAGTGGCCTGGTCTGGCTCCTTGGAGATGGATGCGAGGTAGTTGTTCTGGGTCGGCAGGAGCATCGAGTCTTCAGTCAGAGACCCCGGCGTGATCACCCGGACGACTTGGCGCTGGACGAGGCTGTCCATGCCAACACCGCCGCGCTGTTTGGCGGCTAGTGCTGACTAGAAGAGGAACAAGGCATCGATCATCGGACCACACAAGGATCGGAATAGGTAATGTAAGAAGGACACATGTGTATCTCTCTCAAGGGAGAATATATTGCGAATGATAGGCAAAGCCACGAGGACAAGGTATATATAAAGTTAAGAGAATGCATGTGGTTTGCCTATATATATATTGTTGTATGTACTAGTATGTAATATATATATATATATATATATGTACCTCGACTTGGTTGCAAATCGCCACCTTTTCGCCATGCTGGCGCACCAACTTTTCCACGTACGTGTTTAACGATGACAGAGGAAAGCCGCACATGATGTCCAGCGCATCGCGTTCTCGCGACATCCCCGCCTTGGCCTTGGTCTTGCGCGTCAATGTGATGTTGAGCAGCTAGAAACGTAAAGGATGAGATGTCGAGGAAGGGAGGGACGTCGTACGTTGGAAGCGCGCCGCGCATCGTCAGAGAAGAGTTCGTAAAAGTCTCCCACTTGGAACAGCAGCATGCAATCTACCACCAGTTGGTCAGCACCAAGACCACAAGGTGGATGATGATGATGTTTGCCATGGACAAGTTGATGCGTCCCACACTACCTGGATATTCCTGCTTTCGCTCCAAGTACTGACGGAGCATTGGTGTCACATTGTCGGAAGGCAGTGGTGGTGGGATGGACGTCGTATATGACCGACAGGCCGCCGGCCACGGTCGCCACCGCCGCGACGCTGCTCGAAGCATGTTGTCGAATGCAATTGGCGGGAGATTCCGGATAATCGGGCATTCGTAATCGGATACGTTTCCAAGCGACAATTTAACTTTTATTGTGATTTTCATACAAATTTCACTATCAGAAGCAAAAAGATAATCCGCAGAAAAAGGTCATGGTAACCAGGTAGAATATTTTAGCCAATCAGCGACACAAGAAATTTCAGATGAACCAATCAAATGTCTCGAAGAGGGCTAGATAAGGTCCGGAAATTCGTACCGAATCTACAGTGTACCTTTAACTTCATGTACTGTTACTTGGAATATTAAGGCAGATACTAGTATTTCCATAATATTTTTTATTTATTTTTCCAACCTAGCTGCATCAAATGTCGGCAGTACAATGATGCCATGGGGACTTGAAGCTGTGAATTATTTTGCTGTGCATACGACAGCGATATCCCAACTATCGCATGTGTCCTATAAATCCCAGGTATAAATCTGGGTACTACATATTTAATCAAATTTGAAAGTTGAGCGGCAGCACCGACTCGTCTTCTCGCGTGAGCCACACCATGCTACCCTCGGCACCCCCGTCCTCTGCCGTTTGTCGAAACCGGCAAGTTTGAATCACCTAGATCAAAACCACCATGAAATATGTCCAAGAATCAGACAAAACCACTGTACTTTGGAAAACTCGACAGGCCGCGCATGGATCGGCGCGAGTTGAAGATGTCGGACACACGACTGCTGCACCTTGAGCAGTGTAAAGAGGCCGCCGGCGCCAATATTCCACCATCGGACCATCGCCTCCCGCGCCCCGTACGACACTATGCGGATAAATAGTATAATAGAAATTAAAAATTCAGGAAAAAATACAAAAAAAAACTGTGTTTATTCCATTCTTTATTTATTATCATCAACAAAGCAAAGGTATGAAATAAAAAAAATGAATAAAAAATGAGACGCCATTGTGTAAAATATTTTAAAAATAGAAAAAGAAATGTAGACGTCTGCGATATACATACCGAGCATGCCGCCATCGTTTCGAAAGCTCACGGCGCCGATGCTGCTGGCGTGACCTTCCAACACTCGCCACTTGGTGGCCTACAGTGATGTGCTGCATCATAAGCAGATGATTCTAAATGGCCACGAATTCGTCTCAATGAAGGACGACGCAAGGTTCATTGTACCATGCGGAGGTCGTACAACAAGATCACGCCATCCATCGTCCCCACGGCTAGACGCTGGGTGGCTTTGTGGAAGTCCACCATGGGGAAGCGCTTGACGAGGTCGTGCAAACACTTGGTGCTCTGTCGAGACGAATCAGATACTGTATGTCGGGGCGGTAGAATCAGATACATATCAGTTTTGGTATCAGACGCAGATGCTCGTACCATCGCGAGGCATTTCTTTCGCCGGTCCGGTTTGGTCGGGTCCAAGCAAGTCAAGACCGTGTCCACGACCGCCGGCAAGTGCCGGACCATGTGTCGAAACTGCAAATTCACCCACGTCATCAAGTACACCAGCACCCCTACCCCCGTCAACCCCATGACGTGAGCACCACAAGTGACGTGTGAGCACCAAAATGAATGAAAAATAGTGACATGATATTGACCGCGCCAAACGTGACGGATCACCAAATTGAAAAGGGATATGAGCACCAAAGTGAAATGTGATATGAGCACCAAATTGAAATGTGATATGAGCACCAAACAGAAACGGGATATGAGCACCAAATTGAAAAGTGATATGAGCACCAAACTGAAAAGGGATATGAGCACCAAAGTGAAATGTGATATGAGCACCAAATTGAAATGTGATATGAGCACCAAACAGAAACGGGATATGAGCACCAAATTGAAAAGTGATATGAGCACCAAACTGAAAAGGGATATGAGCACCAAAGTGAAATGTGATATGAGCACCAAA